TAGTACATACAATATTTCCTGAATATTATTTATAACAGTTTCAAATTGTGTTTTAGATCAGAGTATAAGGCTTGGTTTGCACATTTTACACTCGACAGTTTAACAGGTCAATTAATCCTAGCACCTAGAAGCTGCATCAAAGTAGGAGGGGCTCAAATGTGATAAATTTTAAGCATATAATTCTTTAATATTTTGAAATGGACCTTATTTCCAGTCAAAAAGTCAATTTTGTAACACACTTGTTAATCTCTCCACTCAATGTGGATGCTCAAGTTGAAGTTGAAATTCAAGTTTCAAGTAGTCCTCATACCACAAGATGATGCTCATGTCTAATGACTATTGTGTAGACACAAAGGTATGGACATCCCCAAACTGAGGACAGCATGGTGCGGTGGAGAAAACAAAGAACGCACAGGGTGAGAGGGTCTGGCCACGTGACTCAATTAAGCCACTTTCGAGTTCTGTGACATTGGACATGTCCCGACTTCTCTGAGCATCACTCTCTTCATCTGTAAAAATGGGATGATGATAATAATACCCAATTTACCTCCCGTAGATATCATGAGGACAGTCTGAGCTAGAGTTTATAAAGCATTCTGTAAGCTCTACAGTGCTGGTAAAATATGTTTTATTATTCTCAGCTGTCAGAATGGAATTGGAAGCTATAAACATTGTTTAATGTTTAATGCTAATTAGAGCCTTTCCCTAAGATTATAAAAATGTGCATAAATAACAAAATATAACATGGAGTGCTCCCATGTTAATTAGAAACAGTGTGAGATTTATGCTTTTAAAAACATTCAGATATAAAGATATCAACCCTAATCTAATAGAATGTTAAAAAAAATTACTGGTGTAATATAAACTTCACAGATAAGAAAGCCACCATTAACTATCAGTGTTACTAAAATTAAGAATAACCAATAAAAATTGTAATTATGTTAAAAAAACAAACCGTTGGGTACACCTACCTTCCAATTTGCCAGTTTTTTAAACTCTATAATTTTTATAACCGCTCCCATGAGAATACCTAGAAGAGAAAATGTAAAGTTTAACATAAATTTAAGGTATGAGAAAGATTACTCAGCTTTATAATTCTAGAGAAACCGAATATTATTATGTCTCTAAATAGTTTTTATGGATTTCTGTAAGTTTTATGTCTGAAAACATAAGAATGGAAATTAGTGTGACGTTTTATGAGTCACATAGGTTTCTCACTTGTATCTCAGGCAAACATACGATAATGGCGTCTACAAAAGTCTGGGGGAAGAAAAAGCTACACAAAGTAAGACCCGAGGAGAGTCCGCCTGGCACAGAAGATTCCACCCTTGCCATTTTTGCCCAATCCATCCATTTTCAAGGTGAAATGGGAGAAAGCTAAGTTTGCCCCTTATTCCTCCCATTTTCAAAAAGCGTCCAAGATCACTTTCTTAGACTCAGATGGCAGCTCTATGGAGAGTAGTTAGTTAGAGACAAAACCCCACTGCTAAAAATAGCCTCAAGTAAAAATGCTGTGAAATTCCTGGAACAAAACAGACCATCTAAGTTCAGGCATGTTTCCATAAAGCTGACAGGCTCATTACTCTCTCATAAAGAACCTACCAAAAATAATTCTCAAAGAAGCATCACGGGGACAATTTATGATTGCTCTGTTACTCACTAGATAAATGATTTGGAACCCTGTTGGCTCATCAGAATCGCCATGGGAGCTTTATATACAATAAAGACCCCAGAGCAGAACTGCAGACCTACTAAATCACAGGATCTGGTAGGGGTGACACAAAGCAAGCCTGAAGGCCACTGTCATGGACACACAAAGACAAAGACGCCCCTTTCCCCTGCAGAGGAAGGAGCGGTTCCCACCCCCCCCACCCACTACAGAAAGCTGAAGAAACACAGCTTACTGGGCGGGGCAAGGAGACAACACTAGAACATAGANGCTCCCATGAGAATACCTAGAAGAGAAAATGTAAAGTTTAACATAAATTTAAGGTATGAGAAAGATTACTCAGCTTTATAATTCTAGAGAAACCGAATATTATTATGTCTCTAAATAGTTTTTATGGATTTCTGTAAGTTTTATGTCTGAAAACATAAGAATGGAAATTAGTGTGACGTTTTATGAGTCACATAGGTTTCTCACTTGTATCTCAGGCAAACATACGAAAATGGCGTCTACAAAAGTCTGGGGGAAGAAAAAGCTACACAAAGTAAGACCCGAGGAGAGTCCGCCTGGCACAGAAGATTCCACCCTTGCCATTTTTGCCCAATCCATCCATTTTCAAGGTGAAATGGGAGAAAGCTAAGTTTGCCCCTTATTCCTCCCATTTTCAAAAAGCGTCCAAGATCACTTTCTTAGACTCAGATGGCAGCTCTATGGAGAGTAGTTAGTTAGAGACAAAACCCCACTGCTAAAAATAGCCTCAAGTAAAAATGCTGTGAAATTCCTGGAACAAAACAGACCATCTAAGTTCAGGCATGTTTCCATAAAGCTGACAGGCTCATTACTCTCTCATAAAGAACCTACCAAAAATAATTCTCAAAGAAGCATCACGGGGACAATTTATGATTGCTCTGTTACTCACTAGATAAATGATTTGGAACCCTGTTGGCTCATCAGAATCGCCATGGGAGCTTTATATACAATAAAGACCCCAGAGCAGAACTGCAGACCTACTAAATCACAGGATCTGGTAGGGGTGACACAAAGCAAGCCTGAAGGCCACTGTCATGGACACACAAAGACAAAGACGCCCCTTTCCCCTGCAGAGGAAGGAGCGGTTCCCACCCCCCCCACCCACTACAGAAAGCTGAAGAAACACAGCTTACTGGGCGGGGCAAGGAGACAACACTAGAACATAGACGTTTATTAGCAAAAGGAGCTGCACTAACACGAACTGTCATGGGGAAGGAGGGGCTTAAGGTGAAGAGAGGAGGTTAAGTCATTTTAACTTTATAAGCCTCTATACTATTTCAACTGTTATATATTATTGCACATGGGTGCTCATTAATAGCACCATTCATACTAGCCCGAAGGTGGGAAGAACTCAAACGTCCATCAACTGATGGATGAACAAAATGTGGTGTATCCACACAATGGAATATTATCCGGCAATAAAAAGAAATGAAGCACTGATACATGACGCACTGTGGATGAATCTTGAAAACATGCCAAATGAAAGAAGCCAGACACTAAAGACATATTTTATGATTCATTTATATGAAATATCCAGAATAGGCAAATCTATAGAGACAGAAATGGTTGCCTAGGGCTTTGGGGGTGATAGCTAAAGGGTATGGGGTTTCTTTTTGGAGTGATGAAAATGTTCTAAAGTCGATTGTTGTGATGGTTGCACAATTCTTTGACTATGCTAAAAACTACTGAATTGTACATTTAAAATGGGTAACTGGTATGGTATGTGAATTATACCTCAATAAAACTGTTATAAAAAAAATGGTCACAGATTGTATGATCCCATTTATATGAAATGTCCAGAATAGGCAAATCTATAGAGACAGGAAGTGAGTTAGTAGTTTGCAGAGGAAGGGGCAAGGGGGAAGTGGGGAGTGACTGCTAATGGGTAGAGGGCTTCTTTTTGGAGTGATGAAAACGTTCTGGAATTAGATAGCGGTGGCAGTTGCACAATCCTGTGAATATAAACAAAAAGCAGTGAATTGTACCCTTTGAAATTATGGAGTTGATGGTATGTGAATTATATTTTAATTTTTTTTAAGTCCCCATTTTGTTAACTATTCCCCCAGTGATGGCTGTCTCCAACTGGTTGCTATTAACAGTTGGGCTGCAATGAACGGGCCTGTGCTGCCTATTTGTGTAAGTGTTTCCCTAAGGCAGATCCAGAGACAGGGAATGCCATGAGCATTTTTATCCCTGAAAATGTTGCCAAATTGTCCTCCAAAGTGGCTGTCCGCTTTACACCAGAGCGACCCCCACATCCTCACAACCCCACATCCTCACAACTGATAATCATCGGACTTGAACATTTCTGCCAATATGGTGGGCAAGAAATTGTACTTTAAGGTTTCAGTTTGCATTTGCAGTCAATCTGCACTTAGTAATCATTCCTGATTTATGAGGAAAGCTGAAGCTCTTTGCATGGTTTTCGATTTCATTTTTAAAGCTAGTGTTTTTCTGCTCTACTAAAACCTCAACTCTTTTTCCCCTTGTAAATGTATACCAGACTTTAATACCATGAACATCAGTAATTATTCTATTGCCTATATTATTATTTATGAGGCTCTAGAAAGCTTTGTAAAATATGATGTGATATTACTAT